CCCCCCCCCCCCCCTTTTTTTTTTTTTTTTTTTTTTGAGATTGGATGCAGCTAATCTACCAGTGAAGGTGGCCTTTTTTTAATGACTCCTTAGCAGTGGATGGAATCAGCAACCTTTTATTTTGCCTTGAAGTTCAAGGACAACTCTCTCAGTAGTGGCTTAGTGAATAGCTTTGTCATCTGTTACTGATATCATAGACTGCTAATTGCTTCCTCTGCCTCAAAAAGCATGGTTTAAAAATGACCAGTGACACAAGCAGTGAGAAAGCATAATTCTCATCTTGAGTCTGACCAAGTGTGAGAGACTGATACTTTAAGATGTTGTATGGAAAGAAGAAAAGAGTTTCTTATTGCACCATCGTACTTGCCCAGCATGGTGTAACTGGCCCCAGGTAGCTGATGGCTGGATCATCTCTTGTCAGGGCGCAGTGAGGGCTGGTGGCTCCCTAGGGAGCAGGGTGCTGGGAGCCAAGAGGAGTATCAGCTGGCAGTGCCAGGGCCCCATCCCACAGTACTCCAGAAAGATGGGCAGGGCAGGCAGCAGGATGGCAGCCACGGTCAACTGAGGCAGGTCCGAGGTCAAGCTGGGAATGCGGAAGTTGGGGTCAGGGGCAGGTCCGGAGACATTAACCAGTATCAGATACAGTCCAGTGATCACCAGGCAGGTCTGTAGTGATGTGGCAGGGCTGAGGCCAAGCCGGGAAGTGAGTCTATGGTCCATGATCTGGACAGGGGTCTGGATCAACAGGGCCCATGGCCAGGCACAGGCATGGCTGTGACAGAGCGGGAGCTGTAGTTCAAGCAAGGCCGAATGGCAGAGCCTCAGCTTAAAAGCAAATCCCGTGGAGATAGGGGTCATCAGCCCTTGTTGAGGCTGCCCCACAGCACTGTCTGGGAGCCTTTCCCCGTGGTCACTAGAGGGAATGGAGCAGCCCTCACCTGCACTATCTCTAGGTCGACCCTGGGTCCTGGCAGCAAACCCCTGGGGGAGGGAGGAGTGGATGTGTTCGGGGCCCTGAACACAGATTTGGCATGCAGCCTCTTCTTTTCACTGTGAAGAATTTTTAAGACCAAGTTTTTTGTGATTTGAACTCATGGTGTGTTGGCTGCCTTGAAAAAAAACGCTAACTTTGGACAACATAAGGCAAGAGTACTCTGCTAGCACCTTGGTTATATTGCACAGCTACGTAGCAGTGGGAGAGCAGAGCTGTTTGCTGCTACAACCTTAGAGTCAAACTCTTGGCTTAGCAAAGGCCAAGGGAAAGGTATAAGCCTGCACTTATATGCAGACTATATGCTCTTGTAATTAGTGGGATCAAGGACATCTTCATTAGCTCCTAAAGATGTTATCCTGGCACCACTGCTGAAGAAACTTGGTTCCAGTTCTGTCCAGCTGTTGGTGTAACTGCATCCCTTTTCCTGCATGTTAGGATAGCTGACTGATAGCTGAGTTGTATTCAGCAGTGTTGGTGTTTTCTTGATCACTCAGATTTCTGGGATGCACATCAGCCCAGTTATATTAGAATGCCCTTTGGTTTCCTTAACTTATAATTTCCTTCTAGTAATGGAGTCTATAATACCTGTTTTAGATTTCTCTTGCAGATTTTGAAACAGACTTTACTGGTGTCTTCCTGAAATACAGCAGTGTTTGCAGCACCTCTTGTTTTTCTCTTTCCTGAGAGAATCTAACAGGTAGCTTAAGGGCTTCTTCCTCTGCCCCAAAGGCAGACCATGTGGTCCAAATTATCATGTCTTCTCACAGCAGAAAGACACCACCTCTGGAGAGAAATAGGACTGATTTCTTCAGCATGCTGATAACACTTGGGATTCTTTGGTTATTGCATGTGTCCTAGGCAGAGCGATAGAAAACTCTGTGACTAGAAGGGACACTGACAGACAGTTTCTCAAATTTTACTCAAAACCAAACAAGATGAAACATTTGAAGGGGGGAGGAAGAATGACAGCTGGAACAGCTGAAATAGTAGGCAAGTACCAACTGCTGCTCTTCATTGAAAGGGTTTTGCTACTGTTTGTAGACCAGGTGTGTTCTTGGGCTGTTGAACTCAGGCTCCTACAGGATGCCAAGGTCCTTTGCCAAGCAAAGATGTTTTCTTCTCTGTAACTTGGACTAGAATCTTCTGGCCTCTAAACCCTGGTGTAGGGGTACTGCCCTGCAGTCATTTGGCTGTTTGTATGATAAATGACCCTCATGTCCTCAGTGAAGAAGTGTGCGTAGGGACCATTGAGAAACAGAAGCTAGTGCTTCACATGTGAAGCAGTCCTTGAGGAACACAGCGCAGACAGTGATCTGTGGCCTGTCATGGCTTCCAGTTAGCTTTGAATTTAAGCTGTTAGTTAATCTTAACTTGTTAGCAGTAAAGTCATCTGTTGTTTTAGTCCTGCCCCTGAAGAGATCATGCCTTCCCCTCCTGTGTGCAACACTGCCCGAGCATTTATCAGCAAAGACCTGTCAGTAGCAGCGGTGCTCTGCTGCCTTAATAACACAGCAGGAAGCTGTTGGCAAGACAATACTGAGAAAGGGTCAGACTAATTAGAGACCAAACTAATTAACTTACTGGGAGAGCAGATATCTTTCTTGGACTGTTGGGTGTAGCTACGTTGAAGGTTGCTGCGCTTAGGTATTTGGTGAGAAGGTTATGGGAGACGTAACTGAACCATTTCCGGAGAGCTCCTGTCTCTGAGGGGTCAGTTGTTGTGGAAACTTTTTAGTTTGGAATCTATCCCCTCTCTGCTGCCATGGGAAGGAACGGTTGGGCTCTGCCTGGCATTTCTTACAGGCGATTCACGTTTCAAGTGTCAGCTCCAGTGAAGAAAGAGGTTTTTGGCACTTAATTTGCTTCTGTGTGTCTTTGTGTGTTGGCAAATAATGTGGTATTTGCGAGGCTGATGTATCGATGGCGTATATAGCTTGCGTGCCCCAGGGCGCAAGGAACTGGGGCTGAAAATAGAGTCTTGAGGTGATACAGAAGACTTAACTGCTACCTCTCTCCCACCAATACTTTCTCTTTACTGCCTCTGCATGGTGACACCTGCTTCAGGGGTAAATGGGTATTTTCAGAACACAGCATTTGGGCAAGGTGTATTTCAAGCTACATTCTAAATTCTGAAAACACCTACCATGTTTGTTACATTGACTTCTCTGCAGCAAATATCTCAGACGCTAACTTACAGTTATTGTCAGCATTTTGACTGTCTAACGAATAGTATTCTCTAGAGAGATTTTTATTACTTTTTCTATCTACATTTACAAAGCTAAAATTCATCCAGCTTCTCAGAGAATTTTAAGCTTTTTAACTCTTAGGTAGGTGTTTAATCGGTCATCTACTTTCCATCCCTTTAGGTTTCCTTCGATGTATGTTATTCATGTTGCATTTTTATTTAATTCCATTCAGTTCTTGTTTTTTTCGCTTTCTGATGATTTCAGATTAGCAACCCCTAATATTTGTCTGAAATAATGATTTATTTAAAGTATATGAAAGAAAATATAGTAGCAGCATGATATGGGGACACTTACATGTATATCTACATTTTCTTTTCATATTTTCAAATACTGTTTTTACTAAGGGTGCTTAATTTGCATTTGCTTATATATTCCAGAGAAGCTGATGCTGTCCTGAAATATCTGAAGGAACAGTGTGGTGCAAAGAAGCTAGGGGTTGTTGGTTTTTGCTGGGGTGGTATTGCTGTACATCACCTGATGATGACATACCCAGAATTGAAGGCTGGTGTATCTCTCTATGGTAGGTAAATACAAGGATGTAGTACAAGCAGGTACACATGCATATGTATATTGTGTAGCTTAAGTACTTGATCTAGCATTATTTCTTCAAATCAGGCTGTCATCTGATGAAGAGAGATATTTTGCGTGGGAATGGTTCAAAGCTGCGCCACGGGAGGTTTAGGCTGGCCATTAGGAAGCATTTCTTTGCTCAGAGGGTGGTCAAACCCTGGAACAGGCTTCCTAGAGAGGTGGTCGATGCCCCAAGCCTGTCAGTGTTTAAGAGGCATTTGGATAATACCCTTAACAACATGCTTGAACTTTGGGTCAGCCCTGAACTGGTCAGACAGTTGGACTAGGTGATTGTTGTAGGTCCCTTCCAACAGAAATAGTCTATTCTGTTCTATTCTAGTCTAGTCTATTTTCAGCAGAGTAGGAAGAATATTATGCAAAGAAGATGGTGGTGAGGATATTTGTTCCTAGTTTCAGAATGGGTCATAGCAGCCATGTCTTTATTTCAGGTCTGGACGGACAGACATGTTGTTCTTCGGTCACCTTCCCAATTTAGCTCCCTTTTCCTGTTTACTACTGCTCTGCATGCTGCAGAGCTAGAACTTCACCCGGGAGCTGAGAGTGGTTTTCTTGATCTAGCTACTCTGTAAAGTTAGATTGTGTTTATTTTAACATTGGCTTTTCTTTTATGCTCTGCTCAAGAAGCCGGGATAGCTAAGCTGCCCTTTGCTAACGTTCTCAGAATGTAAATTTTGGTCTACTTACTGAAGCATTGACTTTCCCAGTCAGTTCAAAAGAACTCAAGCTTGTATGCACAGAAGGCATCTTTCACGTCTTATTAATTCAGATATTCAGTCTGTATCTTAAGAAACTGGTTTAAATAGAGTTTTAATCTAGGAGGGTATTCTTCTAGGATCCATGGTTACAGTAGCTTGAAAGTAAAGCTAATATTTATGGCTACATATTGCATGAGGCATGAAAACTTTTCACTGCAGAAGCAGAGTGCTGTATTTGAATCTGGATTTCACCTTAAAAGTCAATTGAAGAGGTTTTTTTATTTGGTTAATGTTTTCTAGGACTAATCAAGGATTCTGATGATATATCTAATCTCCTGAACCCTACATTTTTCATTTTTGCTGAAAAAGATGACTTCATTCCCCTTCATCAAGTATGCTAATAACCTCCATCTTCTTTCATTTCTGCATGTTTATATTTCCATCCTGAATTGGGAGTCAAAAGTCAGCCTCATCATAGTGCTTGAAGGTCAAAAAATAAGCAGAAAAATGTAGCTAGACGTAGAAGGGCTAATGTAACCTAGGCAAAGAATGAAAACTAGTTTGGTTTTTTTTTCTTAAGTCTCTTTTCTTTTGTAAAAGTATGGCTAGTAACCCAGGTAACAAAGTTTTATCAAAATCCCATTGCTGTTTTGGAGTACTCTACTCTGGGAGCTATCCTTTGCTGTATGACTTTGTTTTTTATTGGTCCAAGGAACCCATAAACAATGTAGGATACGCCGAATGGCATCCATAGGTGTCTGTTAGAAGCTTTTTCTTCAGTTGTAGTGTATTTAGTATTGTCATATATTGCACATGTAGGAAATACTTTTTTTATATCCATATCTTTGCAGATCGTTGGACCTGCCTTTATATTCTAACAAATTTTCTAGACCCTTACTGCAAAGGTGTTTTTTCTTTATGTAATTTTACTTTCTGTTTTGCCCATGTGGAGCATGGTTATTAGCGTCTAGCATGGATGATAAATTAGGGAGTTGAACTATGAATAAGCTGAGGACCGGCAGCATGGAATATGGCTATATTAATGTAACTACTACTGTGCTCTATATTACAGGTCACCCTGCTGGAGCAGAAGCTAAAGAAAAATTGTAAAGTCGATTTTGAAGTTAAAATTTATCCTGGACAAACTCATGGTTTTGTACATCGCAGAGGAGAAGATACCAGTCCTCAAGATAAGCCTTATATTGAGGAAGGAAGAACGGATATGATCAACTGGCTGAATAAATACATTTAATAGAAGAGCAAGCAACTTAATTTGTGACACAATTATGTAATACACTGCAGATTTTTGATAACGCATTTTAGAAAATTGGAGGGGAGTTTGTTGAAATAGAAATTAAAGAAAAAAGCAAACAATATTTTAGATGTTTTTTGCCAGTAGATTCTAATTGATACTTTCATACTATGTTCTTTTGAAGAAGTCTCAGCTTTCACCTAGCAGTGTCATGTTTTAATATGCTGTGAAATATTCTCCAGTTCCTTGAGGTTTATCTTAATGCTTGAAATAAGTACTTTGACTTGTACCCTGGTGGCAGATGTCTATTTAACCAGTGACATAAATGGGCATATCTTGTTTCAAAATTTGTGGCTAAGGTTATTCAGACGGGGTACCACTTTCTCAGATTACCTTTGGTTCTGTGAAACTCTGTAGATGATTTCCCGGTCGGTTTAGGAATTCAGAAGTACAATGCAATCTGCAGACAGGGCATTTTAATGTGTGGCTTACAAACCATGGTTGCAGCTTAAAGAAGAAATGTTACGTGTTTTTGTGTAATGTGTCTTGTTATGTAACTTTTCCATCGATGATACCGCAAAAATCTCTGTGTTGCATCAGCTCAAGGTTGCATCTACCTCAGCACCCAGCCTCCGTCAGTGGCCAGCAGTGGCTGCGTAGGGAATTTCCCCTCTCACTCCGGATCCTGGCAGCCAGCCGTTCAGGGGGTTCCGGAGCTGGATGTTGCCACTGGAGCAGCGTGTCGACTGGCCACTGATGGACCTAGCCTCTGTGAATTTGGCAGTCCCTTTTTGAACCTGCTTGAAGTGCTGACCTCTAGTGCACCCTATGACAGTGACTTCCGCAGTTTAATTATGCCTCATGGGGAGAAGGGCTTGTGTTCGTTAGTTTGAAACCAGCTGCCTAGTATCTTCATTGGGTGCCGGTACTTCTAAAGTTATAAGAAAAAAAAAAAGAAAAGAATGTATGTCCCTCTTCACCTTCTCAGTTCTACTGGTCAAGACTGCTGTGTGATTTAATGGGGAGAAAATGTAATTTGGGAAAGCCTTCATTTTACTAATGACAATCTCTCAAATTAAACTGATACACTATCAGCGAAATATACATTGTGGTGTGCCATTTAAAAATAGTCAACAGTACGTATTAACCGTCTCTCTCTCAATGGGATTTTCATTTCTTTTGCTTTTTCCCATCCGTGTTTTCGTCCTCTACATGCTGCTAATGGCCCTCCGTCTTTCCCGTTGGGAGGTCTTCAGAGAATTCTGGCCTGCGACTGCTGATTAGCTGTTGCTTTTCATATGATACCATCTATATGTAATGTATTAGTCCTGCCGTTAACCTGGGTGATACAGCTCTCGTAATGCATTCTTCCAGGAGAAGAAGGTGGAGGTCTGGAAGTTTATTGTACCTTGATTACCCCAGTGTAAAACCTGGATAACGCCACATGAATGGAGCTCCATTAGCATTAGAAGGTTAGCTAATGTGCAAGAGGACGTATATTTAGAGAACAGCAGTCATTCACAAATACTGAAACGGCATGTGTACTGTAACGCTAACACCGTGACTAATCAAAAAGAAAAATTGAACAGAGACGCAGCATTTGTCTGAAGCGAAAGGGTAGCTACGAGTTACTACAAGTACAGCCAAATCTTTATGATAAAACTGTAAGTCACTGAGCAAGAGCTGGAAATGCGAGATCCAAAAGAGGTATGTGTTTACAGTACAAAGTGCAACCAACTGCACGTACCGAGGTCATGAATGTGTTGAATTGTTTTGACTTCTAAGTAAAAAAACTCCATGGATTGTCTAGCAAGGAACATGGAAACGACAGGAAATCAAATTAAAAGCCAGTTAATTTCTGAAGTTTAATGTTAATATTAAGGTAAAGGGGAATAGTCTTAAGTGTGAAGAAGAATTTCTGGAGCCACATTACTGTGACTAAGGGAGTAGAAATGTGGTTAAGCAACTCCAGTGGAGAAAATGTTCTGCAAGCCTTGCTGTCATTTCTCTTTTCTAGGAATGATTTAAACTGCCAATTTTTCTCGTGTTTATTTTAACACTGTTTTTTGAAGTTGCTATGGAGTATCTAAGCTCCCCGTGTGCTATAATTTGTTGTTTGTAGTATACAAGTGGGAAAAGCCAAAAACCCAAAAGGGTTGGGCTTTGAACCTTATGACTTCACTCTGGAATTCTCTGGTAGGCTTTTTTTCATTCGTTTTACTTTATTTTAGGAATTGTAAATAAATAGCATTGACAAAGTTATTTAGAATATGGGAAAAGAGCTTATATGAGGACTAAATTGTAAGGCTGGTTGCTTTCCCAAGGCAAAAGTGTAGTAGACTAACGTGCATTTAGTGCTACTTTTTAGATGTGTCTCTGAGGAAACAGTGAATTTTGGGTTGCTAATATCATTAGATAAAGCTCTTTAAAGAATAATCCTAATAGAATCATAGAATCATTAAGGTTGGAAAAGACTTCTAAGGTCATCGAGTCCAACCGTCAACCCAACACTCCACGCCCACTAAACCATGTCCCTAAGCGCCTCATCTACACGTCTTTTAAATACTTCCAGGGATGGTGACTCAACCGAGTCATAATCCAATTAAAAGAAAATCTGGAGAATGGGAGGGATACAAGGATCAGGCAGTCACTTTAATTCAAAAGGAAAAAAAAATGTATAAAATGTCCTGTGATAGGATAAACATGTATCAGCATTTTAATCACTTACTATAATGATATGTACAGCAATCTACAAAGCTGTTACCTTTTTACATATTTATTTTCACTCTGAAGGGGAAAATATTTTTCCTATACTATGTAAGCTTTGTCTTGTATAGAGCTTTGAAGCGATGTCTCTACTTCACTACCTCACCCCGCTGATGACTTTAGATATGTCTTTTACCAATGGATGACTAGTCTAATGAAATAATAATGCCAGCGTAATGTTTAAAAGTGATACTACCCCAACCTTTAAAAACAAAGGAACAGCCTTAAAAAAAAAAAACACCAAACCAAAAATGTTTTGTCTAAATGAATTGCTCAGCTAAGTCAACGTGTTTCCTAAGCTGAAAAGACAAGACCGCCAATGCTTAATACCGTTGTGTGTAAGTTAAAGCGAAGGTTTGGTACTCGGGTATAGCAGCACTCCTCACAGCAGCACACCCTGCCTACACTAGCAATAAAATTGATGGCTTTAGAAAGAGCGAACTTTCAACTTTGTGACTCTGCGATATGCAGAGGTAAAGGCAGCAACTTGCGTAACTCTTCTTTGAAGAAACCTGATCCTTGCACTCACCCCTTTCATTTTATGAGTTAGCACTTTCTTTTGGGATCGCATTCAGTGGTGACCATCCACGCTGAGCTCTTGCGACTTGCCTCTGCTGTCTCGCACGCTTGCTGTGCCACAGGTATGTGTGGGGTTTGTTTGGTTGGTTTTTTTAAACTTCTCCTCCTGAGAAATGTAAACCAAGTGCATGCTGAGGTCTGACTCAGCACGTTTGGGGGACTTGCATTTTATCTGCGTGTTTTTTTAAAGAGCGCATGCTATCAGGAGGCTACTTTCTTCCCTCACTGTTTGAGATGATGGTTCAGAAACCTTCTAGCTTCCCTCCTGAGGTGAGGAAGACCTCTCAGGAGGAGGACTCAGGAGAGTCTGTTGAAAGTGAGAGAGCCGCACAGCAATATCTTTCTGTTTTTCTGATTGTAGGCTCAAGTTTCTGAAAACTAAAGTTACTGTTTGGTCTTCAAATAAATGCTCAAGTGCTTGCAGGTGGAGATGGTGCAACACCAAGGCTGTGGGTTTACAGATCCTCCCAAAAGAATAGCTTTGATGAATGTAAGAGAGGGGGATTAGTTTTTAAGGAATGTTTCAGTAGCATCTCAGAAATGGAAAAAGATACTATTTGCATGAAATGCATGCTGTGGCAAATGTAGAAACACCAAAACGTTTTGATTACGCTACAAAGCTTGCGAGTCTATATAGCTTATAAACCATACAAGCCAACACTACCCCTCGCAGGCTTGTGCCTGGAGCTCTTTTCCTCAGCTGCTATATCTGCATCTTTAAATATCTCATGTTTTACATTTTGCTTTACATTTTATCAGATAATGTGAAATATTTGCAGTTAAAGCCTTTAAGGATGTACTGATTGGTAAGGGCATTGTGTTTGTGTTTCTGGAGTTCTGAAAAATATGTTTCTTTAATATTCAGTTGCTGTTTTATTATATTTTAGTCTAATCAAAAGGAAATAGTTTGTGGATGGAAAATTAGTTATCAATTCTTTCTTATTATATATTTAAACTTTATTTCGTCTTATATGCTCATCTGTTAATTCTTTTTTTTCCTGGTAGACTTATTTTAAGTTAGAAGTCCTATATGTGAGACTGCACGTGGGGAAAAAAACACCTATGGGTGGGTGTGGCTTATTTTAAAAAGAAAAGTAGGGGATTAGTGTAAATCTGTGTGCCCAGAGTTAATACAGCTTTCAAATAAGGTACAGCTTGTCTTGAACTGATCTCTGAAAATGAAGCCTCCCAAGGTCTGCAACCCTAGCCCTGCTAACACTGCTTGGGATATTCTCGATTTTAAAGCCTGCAAACCCAGGACATCTCGGTCCCTGGAAATCGGTGCAAATCTCCTGGCTGTAGGGTTGTTTGCTTGTTTGTTTTCCTAAAGCTGTCCCTTTAGTGCCACAGCTACGTAAGTCACACTAGTTCAGGGACTGTTCAGTAACCTGCTTTCCCCCATTTCTCTCTGTGAGTATGTTTGGCATAGCCAAGTTTGAACATCCTTGTTTCTGTACTGGCAAAATTTTCTTAGCACACGCAATTTATCTGTAGAGAGTTTAGGTAAAGCTTCATCTAAATTCTGTCCACGTTCTTTAATAATTTGGAGATACTCCGTGCATATTCCAATATGTTATTTGAGTCATTTGCAGCAATATGAAGTTAGTTCACCCAGCTGGTTAACCTAAGGTCAGTGGCATAAAATCATTAATTTGAGACCAAGGAGCTACATAAATCTGTGTTAGATTCGGCTGGCATTTTTTGACCTTTGTGAATTACTTGTTTATTTTCGTTTAAGCAATAGTTTGTAAAAAATTAACCATGCCCTACTGTTGCCTTGTTCATAAAACATTTGGCTCAACTTAAGGATTTTTTCCTTATGTTCAGTTTTCTTTTTTCCTGCCTTGGGGTTTGAATGCATTCCTTATTTAATATTAGATAAATACGATTTTATACTCTGGCTTTCACTGGTATATTTTTATTGGCACCTTCCTTAAGTATCCTCCTTCAAAAGTCTGCAATATCTGATGCTAAAGCCGGTATAGAAGAATTTCTTGACACTGAAAAGGTCAGCTATGGAATATTTTAACTCTCTGGAGGAAAATATCACATTTAGTCTAAGTGTAATTGTATCTTTCTACACAGTAGCTGTGTTTTCTTTTTTTTTTTTCCTTTCTTCAAAATGCTAAGTCCCATATTAAGCCTTTACAGTCTATACTGAAGAAAGTTATGCATTCCTGACAAGGACATACACACGATGAAGAGTGAAATAACTGGCTTCATCACTATTTAAATAATTTGTGATGGTTGCCTGGCTGGTTGGTCTTTATTTCTACTCTATTACTGTAGGGCACGAAAGCCCTAGTTGTGTAGCAGCTCCCTGCTGAAGAGTTTATAACATAAGTAACTCTAACGAGATTATTATTTATAAAAAGCAACCCAATGGGCTTATTGACTAATGCTGCATTTTAGTTCTAACGGTAATCAGTATGTTTGCAATACTACCATAATGATTCAAAAATTCGATACTCTATGATACTGCTGTATTTTGATCTTTTTCAGTATGGTATGCTGGGATATTCACAAGTGAATATTTTTTGTTCTTTAGTATCACACATGGCTAATGAATCGAGGCCCTGCCCATGTGATATTGGGGACAGGTTTGACTACGGAGGCCGTGGGCAGGAAGTACAAGTTGAGCACATCAAGGCGTATGTTTGCAAAGCACCTGCCAGCACAGACAAAGCTGTGGTTGTGATTCATGATATATTTGGATGGCAACTCCCAAACACCAGATACATGGCTGATATGCTTGCGGCTAATGGATACATGTAAGAAATCTTTTCTTGGCCAAGAAATCCCACTCTTTATGATTTCTAGCCCTACGTTAGAACTGTTATTTGCATACATGAGAGGGAACTATTACCAGGGTGGTTTGAGTGATATATTTCCATAATACAAAACCACAAAGGAACTTTGCTGTGAAATGTTGCAGAGTACAGCATGCTTCCTTCATACTTTGCTGTTTACAGAGGAAGTGACTGCACACATAGAATGCATAGAATATTGAAAACACGATGCAGTAAAAAGTGATTCTGATAATTTTCCCAGCAATGTGAGATGGCTTTAAAAAAGTGTGTTCTGAAACAGAACTGTGTATTCTGTTCTTAGAAGTCTTTTTAAAATAAACAGTCATTCAAGCTAAATTATATGATGGGATTTTAAAAAATTGTCATCAGCAGAAATATGAATGAATGTCATATATTTTGAATATGATATTGAATATGTACATTGAATATGTGCATATGAATCATTCATATGCACACATGGAGTATTAAATACAATCCCCTTCCCCCCTGCAAATCTTTGACGCTCATTTTCGGTGCCCTACAGCAGGTAAATTCCAAAATGCAGCAACATCTTGCAAAAACTGGATATGCTGCAAGGTACTCTATTTACAGTATACATTACAAACTTTCATATAGGGTTGGGACTGGCCTGCGGTTCCAAAAAGCAAACCTCCACCTAATTCTGTAGTGGTCTAGTTTTGAGACACGGTGCCTTTAATGCTGTCAGCCTATGGAGCATGAGGGAAGTCAGATGTCAGCAGACAGTTGCCATGTGGCTGAGATCTGTTTGTGGAGCTGAAAGGAGCTCTGCGTCTCTGCGAGATAAAGATACCACCTTTCTGAGGATTAGCGTTTTCTGATACACTGGAACTATGAATTGGTCTATAGTCTGCTCCTTGCTACTGCCTGTCCTGAGGAGTTGACATCCCCTATTCTGCTCCATGATTAGAAGTATGTTTGTCTTGTGACCAAATGCAATGATTCTCAGCGTGAGACTGGACGTACACCTTTCATGCTGTGCAGGATACTGGCAAATCGCTAGTATGACAGTGTGCTTCCTTATTACGGTAAGAGTCTGCTCAGTCAAAAGTACCCAGTGGTCTGATGAATTGGTATTTCTCCACACTATCTTACTTCCTGTAATTTTTCCCTGTGATTCATCCTATGTCATACTTCTTTTTGTAATACCTTCTTTCCCTCCACCTGTACTGCTAATACCGCAGTGGTCAAGGCAAGAAGGCTGGTGTTTCTATTGCTATAGGCAGGAGGAGAGCTGAGAGTTTTCAGGCAGCAGTGTCTGAATGAAGAGAGGCTGTGTGTGTCTTCCCTAATTGCTTCAAGATGCTGCTGAACTAGTGCACCAATGTTTATTGAGGGGAAAATAGCTGGACTTTTTCCTAGTGCAGTATGGGATGAGGAGCTATGAGAGCTGTATTTCAGAGACCACATTGAGTCTGATGGCTCATAGTGTCTTACCAGGCTAGTTTGAGTGGGGAAGAACCTGTTCTATGTGGGCTTGGGAGGGTTCACTTTCAAAGCAATACATAGCCTTTCTGACAGGTACTTATCCAAAGGCTGTGCAATTTTGCCCATATCTTTTCAAACACAAGTATGCTGTGGGTGTCACTGTTTTTTTTTCCACAGAAATTATCAAACACAGTAAAAAAAAAATAAAAAAAAAATGCTTGCAACATCCTTTGGTCTGCTTCAGGCCAAACTGATCCAGTCATTTCACCGTGATCATTGAGATACAAACTGTGTGTCTGAGGAGGGAGAGAGCCAAAGGCATTTAATAAGTGAAACGTGATAGCAGTTTCCCAGGGATCCCATTGCTTCCCTGTGGGCTGGGCTTGGGAGAACGCACAGCAGCATCTGGGGGTGACCTAGTGATGGCAGCCTCCAGAGTCCCTGCTTGTTTCTTTCTGCATGAGGAGACTGTATTATCCACTAGCGACTGCACCATCACAACTCTGCTGCTGGTCCTGCAACACATTTCAGCTGAGGTCATCCCGAGCCAGGGTTTGGGCACCCCTGTGATGCAGGAACTCTTCAGTACTGAGTGGACTCCTACTGTACTTCCCTTTTTCCAGTCACCAAATGATGTCCGCGGTAAAACACGCCTCCCTTTCTTCCCACACGTTTTCCCTTCACTTGGTCTTTGCTGACCTCAGTCCATCAGGTGTTTGTTTTTTTTTTTTCCTAGCTCATAAGTAAGCCTCATGATGTGCTCTGTAGTAAATAATTATTTTCTGTAATTGCCTTTTTTTAAATGGAACCCATTAACGATGGATTTATGTTAAATGATATTCTGTTGTATGCAAAATTGAAAATTGTTGTGATCAGGACCTAGTTTGATCATCCTTTACAGGATAATCTATTGTTTTACTGTATATAGTTTCAAATTATGTACTCAAAACAGGTAAAATACTAGGGATAAAAATATTTAAATTTTCCAGATTTGTATCACAAATTGTATTATGTGGTTTAGTCATTGAAAAAAGCCTATGTAGATTCCTATGAATGTTTTCTAAAGCTCATAGGCATTTCTGTAGAATAGTTACCAATGATGTTTAAAAACATTACTTTCTCAGGAAAAAAATAAAAAAAATTATGCCTGGATAGAAACTTTCTGTGCTATGAAGGGCCAAAAAAATCTCAGTGTTTGATGAATTTGATCAATTTTTATTTTTTTGTGTGTGTGTCTGTGTGTGCAGAGCCATCTGCCCAGACTTTTTTGCAGGAAGAGAAGCTTGGAAGCCTTCTGATGACTGGTCCAAGTTTGATGATTGGCTGAAAACTCGAGATGCCAGGAAAATAAACAAGTAAGATGTCAGGGAGCTGGGTATCACATTGTCTGCTGCTGTCAGATATTGCTTCCCCCCACCCCCCCCTTTTTTTTTTTTTTTGAGATAAACAGGTGTTTTTTTTTTTTTTTTTTTTGAGATTGGAGGCAGCTAATCTACCAGTGAAGGTGGCCTTTTTTTAATGACTCCTTAGCAGTGGATGGAATCAGCAACCTTTTATTTTGCCTTGAAGTTCAAGGACAACTCTCTCAGTAGTGGCTTAGTGAA